AAGCAACTTGACAGCAAAGCACGTCAAGTGACAGTGCTGTTTAGTAAGAATACTTCTGATTGCTGTCATTAAGTGAATCCCACAGGGATGCCATTTGTGACCTCCTGCCAGCTTTCCCAGTAATTTTCTTTTCAGAAATCGGCCGTGACAGTCATAAATGGCAATGTGACCGGATGCTGCAATGTCATAATTGTGAGACAATTGCTAAGCACCTAGATCATGATCACATGACTGTGGGGATACCATGAGACTTGCAATTACAAGAACCAGTCAGAAGTATCACTCATTCAGCACTATTGTAACTTTGAAATTTACTGAATGAATGGTCATTAACAAGGACTACGTGTATATAAGACAAGCCTGGGATAAAAACAGTGAGAAAGTCATTTTTTTTTCATCCTTGAAAACAATTTTTAACCAAAACTTAAAAGATGTCAGGTACAGGTAACAGAACTTATAAGCAGTTCATCAAAATTCTACTACAAAGAACAGGTAGGCTGGCAAGGCATGACATGAATACAACGATATGCATATGAATACATTGCTTATCTCAGCAATTTTTATGTATACTTAAATAAACCTCATTTCTGAGGTTCATTTAAGAGTTCGCCTGATCCCAAGGATTCAAGACATGGAGTTTGGGAGTGGAAAAGTTGGGGAAGAGTGTGACAGAACAAGGAAATAAGATAACCCACACAATAATGTCATTGTAAATTTCCTCCAGCCTATGATCCATATGTCCTGCCTGGATCAGTTCTGCATCTCTCTTCAGCTGCCTGTAAAGAAAACACAGGGTGTACAATTAATTTCATTCATTAAATTATTAGCAGAAAACAAGGGTATCATTGACATCTAAAAAAATCTGAGACCTACCTGTACTTTTCCTGTGTCTCCTTAATCAACTTCTTAAGCTCTTCCACTCTTTCTGCTGTCAGTTTTCTTACAATAACATCTTCTACGGTTTCTACAACTTCTCCTTTCTCACCACGCTTTCTTCTACACACACAAAAATGGAAGGGGAGGGAAGAAGACTCTAGGGACCAGTAACAAAAATCTGACCCCTGCAGATGAAGCACCTTGCATTCACATACATCCAACCTTTCTGTACCTCCTCATCCCAATTACTTATTACTTACTGCTTTTGATCTTTTGTAATGCATTACAAAATCTATTGTAAAGTTTAAGAATATACTAAAGTAATCTCAGTCAAGTACCTATTGGGGTGAAAGTTTGTGATCCCTTCAGAATTAGCTTTCCTGCAATACTGTATATACAACTAGCTTGATATCTGTGCTTCGCTATGAAACTATGTGGTCGGGCTTCATTTTTGGTTTGGAAAATAAGGGGAAAAATTCAGCACCCATCTGTATTCATCTGGCTAGTGTCCTGTCAGTGTGAGAGAGTTGAGGGCTGTTTGGAAACTGAAGGAGTATTTGCTGTGTGAGCAAGAGACAGCAAGGACCCTGGGCATGTCTTCGCTCAACTGTTCTGTATTAAAGCTGCTTGGTGCTGTGAAACTAAAACTGAAACTCCTCTCCTCTGCTTGTTTTGCATTTGGAACAGATTTTAACAGTTCTTTAACAGATAATCAGAGTTGGAAGGGACCTTGTAGGTCATCTAGTGCAATCCCCTGCCCAAGTGGGAGACCCTACACCATTTCTGACAAATGACAGTCCAATCTCTTCTGGGAAGGGGCAAAGAACTCCTTAGCATCAGAGCGTGTTAATAACATAGGAATTACTAATGCTCTGATGGTCATTTCGAAAAATCCTTTCTTAGTGACCTAGAAACCAAGAGGAACACATGTGCCAAATTTCAAGTTCATAGGCTTTACGGTTCTGGAGATTTTGTGATGATGCCTGAGTGATATTTGGCATTTATTTAGATTCTGGTTAAACAAACATCACACAATATAGTATATTTTGCTGTATTTTTATTGAAAACTATTGGAAAAGTATGAGAAAAAAATCTTCTGAAAAGTAAGATCAATGATGAAATAAAAAGCAGAATGCATTCCTGAGTTGGGATCATTTACTCTGTTCTTACTTTTTGCCACTAAATCTACAAAGTAAATGGGAAGCTGGGATTCAACTGATTTGCATACCAGCAATGTTTTCTATGTGAATGTACCCAAACTATCATAGTTGTAGTAATCCTGAATAATCACTGTCTGATAGCAGAGTTTCAACTGCTCTGGTAAACTCTTGTGCTGTCATGCTCTTCAGTTCAAAGGCTGAATAACATGTTAGTAGAGATGAACCAGCTTCAAAAATAATTTAGAAGTGCTTTGAAGCCAACATTTTCCAGGCTTCCATGGAAGCCTGCCAGGAGTCAGGCTACTTTAACAAATAACAAGGACATACTGTGTTCAACTTCTAATCTTCCCCTGATAAGAAATGGTTCAGTCTTTAAACTCACTTTGGAGTCTCTGTTGTCTCCAGGAGCTCAGAATATTGTGATGCACAGTGCTAGAAAAAAGTACATATATACATTTTTTATAAATCAGTCACTATAAACAACACTAAAAATATTTCATCAATGTGTAGTATATAACACATTTTCCACATTGTAAAGATATTTTCTAACAGTTGTGGAGCAGGACTTTCCTAATAAACTATATGGAACTTTCTGTTCGTAGCAACCAGGCAGAGATGCTGACTGAAGCACTGGCACCATTAGAGCTATCTCCAGAGACCCTCTAAAATAGTGCTAATTATAATTAATGCAACGTCAAGCCCCCCTCCTTTTTTTTTTTTGCAATGTCAGTGTGCTGTGGAGCAAAGCTCCAAATAATTTAATCTGTGACCTTTATTTCCTAGATGTTCACAATAAGTCTCTTGAGCAGATATTCCCCAATAGTAAAACAAAAAGGCATTATTAGGCACAAATGTAGCATTTAAGTTTCTTACCTTCTGAGAAAACCAATCTGGTGGACGGCCTGGTTCTGCAAAGGGTTTAATAGCTCGGCTGACAGATACCCTACATAAATGAGATGGAATCAAGATTTTCTTTCTCTGTATATCAGAGATGATAACAATGTTTACTAGAGTGGGGAAAACACTAAAAAAAATACTATAAAATACACTTTAAAATTCATTCTGGTTTGTATTCCATTCATAGAGATTTAGGGTCAAAATATCTATTCATATCTGAAACTCATTGGATGGCATTGGTCAATTATACCCAGCACTGATCTATACTGATTTATCTCAGTGTTGATACCTGGATAATTAGAGTAGAAAAACACTATGAGCAATTTGATTCTTTAGGAATAAAAAGGGCTGCAAATGTAACCATCATTTCCTACTGCTTTTTTCTATTACACGAGTCCAAATTGAATAAAAATACACTATACTGTTTTCAAATGTAAACTACATGAATTTTAATTAATTCTTCTTCAGATTTGTGTCTCATTCCAAAAGTAGAAATCCACTATGACTAAGATAAGAGTGTCAAGTTGTACAATCTCTAGTGCGTTTCAACAGTCAATCCTAAAACTATGGTTATGCTCCTTCCCCACCATGACTTCAATCTGTGCTTCTGAATGTAATCAGAAGTGCTTAATCACTTTTCAACTAAATTTTGAGGCTGGGAAAGTAGTACATAATCTGTTGATTTGGCTATTTGCACTAATTAATAATCTCACCGTTCATTGCCAGTTGATTGAAATTATTTTTTATTCCAGGTAGTCCTGATTTACAGCTGTTCGTTTAGTGACTATTCGAAGTCACAACAGCACTGAAAAAAATGATCTATGACCACTTTTCACACTTATAACCCATGATCTTGTGATCAAAATTCAGGCAAAGTCAATGGGAGAATCTAGATTAAGTGATTATTAAGTATTCACCTAATGACTGCATGATTCACTTAATAACTGGAGTATTCCCAGATTTAACAACTGCTTTAAAAGGGTTACAAAATGGGTCACAATTAATTTAGCAGCTGACTTACTTAACATAAATTTTGGGCTCAATTGTGATCTTAAGTCAAAGATTACCTATACTCTCAAATGCTAAGATCACTGATGGCTTTTGTCCTTATTTGGTATTTAGAACAATAACGTTCACAAATCGCTGTCCAATTTTGCACCATTGAAGAACATACCATACCCTACATGCTATTCTAAACCAAATACATCTTGGCAGCAAATGTTCGAGCCCATTTAACAGTATTTCTCTCACCAGTTCTGGTCTCCACTACGCATGACAGACGAAGCTAGGCACAGCTTCTCTCGGATAGACCAGGGTTCTGTGGGCCCGACATTCATCAACTTGTGTTCTAACAAGGGGGAAAAAAATCATATTATTGCTGTAGGATGAGGTATGAGTATGAGGCAAATTCCACATTCCTGATCTACCTGGGAGGGGGGGTGGAACAGATGCAATTATCTGGAAAACTCTGGCAATCGGAGAAGGAAACAGTATTGGGTACGTTCGACACGTTATTTATAAAAAATAATAATAAAGGCGAAACTACGTTTTTAAAAAGGCACTTTTTCTCAAACAAATGGTTCCTAGAAGGCAAAAAGTGGCAAAAGGCAAACTCCCCCAGTCAACAAAATGCGTGCAATTAAATACAAAATAAATATATATATATTCAAAAAAATATAAAATAAAAAAATTATATTCAAAAAAAAATGCGTGCAACTGACAAGATATACAGGATGAAGCTTGGCTATGTACAGCTGCGCCAGATGACCCGCTGCTTCTCAGACATGAAAAGCAACGGGCATCCCTGATACTTTTGCCCTAAGCACGAAAAAAGATCGTCACTTACTACCCGCTCCAGCCGCCATTTTCGCCAAAGAACAGCAGATTGCGAAGCTCGCCGCACATCGAGTCCCAAAACGTGAGGTCGGGCCTCTCGACTCAGAGCGGTAGGCCGACCGTTTTTTTCTATTCCTATTGGTTGACTGAAGAACGGGGGAGGGAATGGTGGCCGGAAACAACGGTTTTTAAAAATCTCTATGGTTGGTTTCCGGGGTGTGTGTATCCAGTGCTCTGAGAACGGAAACGGAAATAGGCGACTGGGGCTTGAAGTGGCGCGTGGGTCTCTGGCTTCTTCGGATTGCAGCTATGGGTCGAGTCAAGCACCAGGAACCCGAGGAAGCGCCGGAGACCGAGGCAACAACCCCAGAACGGTCGTACCACGAACTAGTAGCAAACGTAAATGCTATTGCGCGGCCGCTAGCCTCTCGGAAGCTCACCCGCAAACTCTACAAGTGCATCAAAAAAGGTGCGTGCTATTGGTGGGTGGGTGGGCTGTGATGGACTCCCGTTTCGAGCTTTACTGCCTCTTGGGGAGAGGTCTTCCTGAAAGCTCTCGCATTTTATTTTGTAGCATCGAAGTTTAAACAGATCCGGCGGGGGGTGAAAGAAGTCCAGAAATTCATCAACAAAGGCGAAAAAGGGTAAGAAGCTGTGATGGTCCGGGCGATGGAATCTACTTTTTGTGAGAGTTAATTTCCATATTTCCGCTTAAAGTAACTGCTCTTGTGTGTTTTGGTCTAAACAAAACAATTTTAAGTCTATGAAAATATAAATGCTTAAATTAGCTTTTTCTATACAAAGTTAAGGAGAAACTAGGGTTGTTACATTCCGAGCAAATTAGAGACATACTTTTCTGTGGTTGCCGTAAGAAACTTATTTGAGATTTTCCAATATTTTGAAATTTGTTTCACTAGTCCCCAATGTCTAACCAACATTGTCTCGTTTCTCATAGAATCACAGTTCTTGCAGGAGATACATTGCCTATTGATGTTTATTGCCACATTCCCATCATGTGTGAAGACAGGAGTCTTCCCTATGTATATATTCCTTCTAAAACGGTAATAATTGGTTAAAGGAAAGAGGTTTTCTGCTTGGTGGTCCTTGAGAAAGTAATGAATGTATGAGATGGGACAAAAAAAAATCAATAGCATTTTGTCTCACATGATAATTTTATTTTTCTATGTAAACAAAGTCTCAGATTCTTAGATATGGATACTTAGTTTTTCTCAAAAACTACTACTAGTCTACTCTTTCAATTCCATGACACTGATGTCACTGATTATTAAAAGTCCCAGTAATAGTTTATAAAACTTTTGTATGTTATTTTGTATCTTTTCAGTTGTGACTTAAATATATAACAATATTAACATTCAGAAGCTAGATTCATTTGATAGATGGCTTGCTGAATAACATGTCAAACTGGTGGCCTATGGACCGAATGCATCACATGCAGGTGGGCGTGACCCACCCCAGCTCCACAAATGGGAAAAATGTGACAACAACCTGACACAAGTTTGACACCCCTGACAAATGGCATTTGCATTTATACAATAGGCACTACAAGATGAAATTATTGCTTAGCGTTTGAATCTGGCTAAAAATGAATATTAGATATTCAGGCTATGGATCCTTATAATGCCAGATATAGTTTCAGCATGATCATGTCCAACTGTTGAATAGGATACTAATACATGAACTTTAATAAAATAGCTAAAAAGTGGTACACGTTATATTTAAATACTTCAATACCATATTTTGTTAATACCTTGAGGTTATGAGAGGCCAGTTAAGTTTGAGGTCTCGGAGAATTCTTTCCTAACATGAGCTCAGAAGTTGAAATGACAGGGAAGTGATAATTTAAGAATTTAACACCCATGTATTTTGTCCTGCAGGTGCCAGGTTAAATTTTAAGCTATTTTTTGCATAAGGTTTGTAAATAAGGTCATACAAAAACATAGGAATCCCTAATATCTCTTTCCTTTAAATTATTTGTTAAATTCCTAATACCTTAGGAAGATCATTTTGTCTCACATCAAGAGGGTGAATTCTGAGGCATTATGTATTCTCAAGTTGTTGAAATTTGGTTTCCATTTCTTAGATGTTTGCAGTGTGGTTGCTGAATTAAGCTTTATAGAAGTTAGATCTTCACCCTGAGGAGGGCTAAAATCAAATTTCTAAAGTACTGGGTTTGTTTAGTTTGTATCTTGAAATACGCATGAGTAGCCAGTGCTGAAAATAGGGAGACTTCTATGTGTGATCCAAGAAACTGAATCCTTTTCTTCTTTTGTATTCAGGATTTGGGAGCAGCAGCAGGCTCAAAACGCCCAACCTGCGTTATCATGATAAAGGCTCATGAGGACTATCAAGAAGCTTACAATGAGTGCTTAGAGGAAGTGGAGGCTCTTTCACTTCCTTTGTGAAGAACATTGATAACAGATGCTATTTAGACTCCAAGATATATGATATGGTATACTGGATTCTATAGGCTTTATGTGGTTAAATATCAGTTTCGTGCCAGTTTGATACGACAGTTGGCCTGGATTGTTGCATTGAGGAATATAACAACCTACTGAGAGCCCAGGAACCATGGCAGCCATGCTGTAATTTATTTTTTTGAAGAGTTTTGGTGGCAATTCTTGCTGGAAATTTGTATTAAAATGTTGCCCGATGTTCAGTCCTAAAAGAATTCTAGACCATTAGCATAGAGGAACTGTTAAATAATAAAAAGTTTTGTAGATATATTGGTCTTATGCAATTCAATATACTATAGTCTTAATATCACATGATCTTACTTGCTTATTCCAAAGCAGGAGTCCCCATCCCCTGGTCTGTGGACCGGCACCAGTTCACAGCATGCCAGCAACTGGTCCCACAAAAACAAGCAAAGTCCCATCCGTGGGATACAGGCATTACATGCCCTCTCTGGTCTGCGGAAAAACCTCTATCCACAGAACCGGTCTCTGGTGCCCAAAAGGTGCTCCAAAGTACCTTCAAGTTGTGTTCTGTGTTGCTTGGGGTAGAGAACATTTCTTGCCTCCTTTATGCAGACAGAAATGCTTTTGAAAATTTAAAAAATACAAGTCATCTATAGCCTTTATTGAAGGGCAGTGTTATTTCAGCTCTTGTTAACTAGATCATACTGTACTACAGAAGCAAATATGAAGCATTCTCCAAAAAAAAAAAAAATCCAGCCCTAGACGAGCTAGACTAAGTTTCTTTCTACAAATTAGTCTTACACTGAAGATAAATATAATTTTGAAGGTATTGCATTGTATGGTAACATGCAAAGCATGTTATTTGTTTCTATGTTGCCTGCTGCCCCCTTTAGATGTCTGATATGTACAAAATTTGATGGAACTGAGAACACATGCAGCAAGCCTCTGGCTACTCTTAAAGGCTATAGTGGCAATTGATTTTTTTCAATTATCCTTTCTCTAGGTCAGCACAGGTTTTGCTTCAGAAAAAGGCAACCTCATTTTGTAAAGTGCAAATTGTAAGCACTAGTTCTTACTTGACGCCTCCAAGTTAAAATAATGCTGGCACTGTCCAAAATTATTTCTAAAGAGCTGTAACTTTGAGGAAAGCTTTAAGATTAGTCCATGAGAATACCAATCCTGGATATTAGGAATAACCTATGCCTAAGGATGTCTCTAAATTAATATCTCTTAAGGCAGATTTAAAATCCCTTTTACATACACAAAATGCAACATTTTATTACAAGCTGTTAACACCAAACTTGTTCATTACCTATACAGGTTTTAGATTTACCATATTTAAATAGTATATGCTCTGACGCTATAAATTGTTTATATAAGGAAGAAAATCAATCCTGGCTTTTGAGCTTTTATTTCTTTACTTAAATAAATCATCGTGTATTTGTATTCATATTCTAAGGAAATATTCCATTGTATCTCATCTCTTAGTCTCTCATCTCTTAGTCTCTGAAGAACAATACTGTATAAAGAGGCTGGCTTAAAATGTTAGGAAACACCAGCAAGCCTACAGCTGTTCCTCATTTCCATTCTAATTTACTTGACATTTTTCTTCAAGAGTAAGCTGGATTCCCCACATGCTTTTCTTACCGCAGATATATTGCATTTTTCTGAAACACTTCTATTTTCAAGAATTTGGTAATCTGTAAGCATTAAAAGTAGGGATAGCAGCTCCACATACAGCACTTGTGGTATAATCCAACAAGAAACAGAATTGTGACTAGGGACAGGATAAACTCTACAACAGGAGCATTGCCTGTTGAAGCTGCCAGGATGAAGCCCAAAACAGGCAGACACGGAGTATATGTACAGGATATTGCATTGCCTCAACCTGGGAAGTTTTTGTCTGGCCCATTAAACTAATCAGCTTCCATTGTATAGCAGCTGTTATATTAAGCAGGACCTTATAGAGTTCTGCTTGCACACAACTGCTGTATTTGAAGAGCCCATTTCATAACAAGTCTTGCCATTATCAAAAGATGAGACGTTTTCCATCTGCTGGGTTTTGTTCCATGGGGCAATATGGACACTTCAGTCTGCAAAATGTAACAAAAAAGAATCAAATCAGGACTTTGAAATCCTTACCAGAAACTTCTTTTGTAACATATATGAAGGTGATCCACCCCACACTCCTGGAAAACTGGCAGCAAGTTCTATTGTATAAAAGTATTGGCGGGATTGTGCTGGTACCACAGACATCCAAGTCAAGTATAGTCTTACAGAAGCTTTGCTGGGTGACTTTGGGCTTGTTCTTGGCCCAGTTTACTTCAGTGTTCGTTATGAAAAATGAAAGCACTACATGTCTTGAGTTTCTGAAGAAAAAGCAGGATAGAAAACTTAATATTCACCAAATTTGTTTCTATTTTTGACCCAGTATTAATTTTTAAAAAAATCTAGATTTGGTTCCATTAATGTCAGACAGTCATTCCTTTTAAGATGTATGGACCTCAACTCCCAGAATTCCCCAAATGGTATGTGATTGGGGAATTCTGAGAAATGAAGCCCACACTTAAAGTCTCCAAGTTTGAAAAACTTTCATTTAGAGTTCTTAAAATAGCCTTGTTCAACAATTGAACTGAAGGTTGCAGGCACAATGTAGCTAGCCATAGTATGTAGAACTATTTTGGGGGAAAATGTAAATCTACATGGTATTGCATGTATAAATATGGGATGAATAAAGTATATGATCTAACTCAGGGGTGTCGAACACAAGGCGGTTGGATCCAGCCCATGGGGCCAACCTGGAAAATGTTGCTTCAGCCGGGTCTACCCAGTGTGAAGAGGAAACATGTCAGCATGAGTGGTGTCAAGCTGGCCACAGCCACCTAGTTGGCTATGGCCCCCTAGTCACCCAAGGTCAACCAAAGCCCTGATGCGGCCCTCAATGAAATTGAGTTTGACACCCCTGATCTAACTGCAATATGGAAATGGAAATAGTTCAGGCAATTATCATCTACTAACCCCATAATTTTCATTGAGATAGCAAGATTTGATGAAAATCACTCACTTCCCTCCATTGATAAGCTTGTTGAGAGCATCTCTAGAAATAACATGTCCACAAATCAACTTGATAGGTGGATTGGAATCTGTGGTCTGTTGGCGCAGGATGGGACATGCAAAAACTGAATGATACCAGCATTTCATTCCTAGCTCAACTTCAATCTGTTAAGAAAAGTTAACTTTAGCATGTAGTTCTATTTTCAGCAAAAATCCCAATACATCTTATAGTTCCTTCCCCAGAACGGGTAAGTGACTCACGGGCAGCTCATCCTTGTGGCTCCAGACACCCGTGCATTGTCTCTGCTCAATCACAGCCTTGATGTTCATCAAAACTGGCAATGCTACACACCCTGCGGCAAAACTGCAGAGACAGAATGCTCAGTGCTGCCCAGTACAGCCCCCAATCCCACCTGTAGGAAGCTTTACCTGACGCTGAGAGGCGACTCCACTGAGAGACCCAGCAAGGAACACGCATCACGAGTGAAAGTCTCACAAATCTCTGTCCAATGACTTTCATCCAATAGATGCCTATATGGAGAATTCTGAAGGCCTAAGCGTAGGTATACCAGACTTCCCATCATCACTTGGATCTCTGTTCAGCAAGATACAGGAAATGCCATTTCAGTGAATAACCTTCATTAAGGCCACCTAGGCCTATTTCAGAGCGAATTGTAAAGAAACTAGTGACAACACAAATGAACAGGCTGAGGAGATGATTCCTCTATTTTGAATCAAGGAATTCACCAGTTTAGATTACCCCTCCTAACTGGGGAGAGAAAGCACGCAGAGCATAGTTTCTGGAATTCTTTTCTACCCCTTCATACCAGCTGCACTCAGCCACATGACCAGGAGGGAGGAAGGTGAGGCTTCAGAATGGAGCAGCTGGTAGCATTCCAAGGGCTGCCCAGCTGCTTCTCCCATATGAATTGAATGAAGGCGAAGTTTTCTGAAATGCCTTTCTTCAAAGGCCCAAGCTGGATCAGACCATTTTGAAGCTTGATCTTTTGTCAGCTTTTCACACCACACCAAATTTGGCCCTGTTTTTTGTTTTTGTTTTAGTTCTCAGACAGGTACCCTGCTGAGACATGAACAGGCTGAGTCCCTTTACACACACTCCAGGATCCCATTGGGTTGGAGAGAAAAGGGGAATAGTGAGATTCCAATATTCTTCAGCATTGAGAGTTGTTTGAAGCAACAAAGCCAGCAGTTCTGGCAACTGTAAAGAAACACTACAAAAAACCCATCTTAATACAAATAAAATATGTTATTTTACCTTTGTCAAGCATGCTGAGCAGAGCCCAACAGACCTAGGAAAGAAGTATCAATTCATGGCAAGAAAGCAAAATCCAAGGGAAAAGTGCCCCACCTTGCTTGTGTAAGTGGGCAAAGGGTTGAAAGTGACGTGCATAGCTCAGGGCCTCCAACTCCTTGCCGGGCCCGCCAGAAAGAAGTCTGATGAAATGGAGCCGATGCAGCTGAAACTCCAGAGTACTGTTCAGATCGGCCAGCTGCTGCCTGTGGAAGACTGCCCAGCTAGGCAAGGTACATTATTCCCTCAGCACCAGAGTCTATAAAGGAACTGTCCTCAGAGTAATTATAATGAAAAAAAGACATGGCAATGATCCAGACTCACATATCGGCTACAGGAGGTTATGAATAGTGGCAGCTTGTTTTTAAGCAAAATCTCAGAAATGTACTAGATTTCATAGATGAGAAACAAAGCATCGTAAAATAATTAAAAACTAATCAAAGTAAATTAAAAACCTAAACTAAAATAATCAGATTGGGAATTACAGGGAGAAAAGAAACAGGATTCCCTAAAGGAAAACAGTGCTAAAGACTTACCTCAGAGCAGGTCCCAAGTCTTGTTTGTGCAGAGCTTCCAGAATGCTGTTCAGTTCCAGGAATGGTTTTTTGAAATCTACATCCACATTCACAGTTGATTCCTGCCAAGGAAAAACCAGAAGTTGATTGAAAAACAAATTGTCTTGCCCTCTCCTGAAAATAAAGGAGCAGGCAAGAAATGGAAATATCTGCAGATGGAGGTTCAAATAAACATTATGGGTAAACCTCGACTTACGATTAGTTGCTTAATGACTATTCAAAGTTACAATGTACCCCCTCAAAAGCTACTTAAAAGCCAGTTTTGAAGTTGCGATGGCCATAATCCCCCCCACGGTGACATGATCGCATTTTGAGTGCTTGGCAAGTGGCTCACCTTTACGGCCATTTGAGCATCTCACGATCACATCACCACAATTTGCTATGAACTCTGCTGTTTTCCAGTGTTTACTTCCAGTTTCTGGCAAAAAAATGCATCTGGGGAAAATGGATTTGCTTAATGAGCATGGTGTTTGCTTAACAAGTGCTACAAAATATGTCCAAAAAAAAAATCATGTCTAGTCACATGATGCCTCAACCTATGACTGCAATGACTTATGACTATAATTCTGGGCCCAATTACAGTAATATTTCAGGAACTACCTATAGCGATTTCAGAAGGGACAAAAAAGATATACAACAGAAGAGAGTAATTGGGTCAGGTGCTTCTTTGGTACTGTAGGCAAGAAAGTAAATTTGTGGCCAGCAGAATTGAATAACCAGACTGAAGCATATATCAAAAAGTATAACATAATGTAGGATCACAACCATTATGTATTATACATAGTCCTTGCTTACTGACC